TGCCAGTACAGTGGGAGAGAAAAAAATAAGGAAGTTATAGTCCTTATCTCCTGCAATTTGTGGGATGGTGGGGAGCATGAATAATACATGTACACATGTAACAGTCAGTGCTGGGTAAAAACTAAGGAGTGCTACAAAAGCAAAGTGTAAAGAAAAGCAGGAGAAGAGGACCCTCGTTCCCACCTGGGGAGACAGGAGAAGTCCAAGTGAGGCCAGCTCAACTCCTGACAAGCCTGGACCCTCCAGCGAACCCGTACGGAGCACAGGCTACGTGAGGGAGGGGTCCCATCGTGGGCAGGTGCCAAGAGGTCTCACCACTTCCTCAGTGAGTTCACCTGCCTCCTGCAGCCAATCCTCAGCCATGCAGGCCCGTAAGAATTTTGTCATCACAGGGAGAATGGATTGGTTTTTCCTTCCCCACACACAGCCCTGTTGGTTTTATCCCCTCAGTGTCGCTCATTCGTGCTTATTTCTCTCCATGGCCATGGCTACTCTCCTAGTCCCTGCCAGTGTCACATCTTTCCTGGTCTACTGTAAGTGCGTCCTGGCCAATCCCTGCTTCTTCGATGGGCTCTCCCAGCCGCAGCCCACGCACGCCTCCCACCTTGCGCCCCCCTGCTCAGTGCTCCAGGGGCTCTTCCTCGCACTCAGGGTAAAACCAAACTCCTTAGCCTGCACCTTGCCAGCCTCATCTTTCTCCACTCACAGCCGGCCTTGGTGAGCATCAGGATTCAGGGCCTTCTCTCACGCTCCTCTCTCTGCCTTAAGCACCGGTCCATGCCTTCTTCACCTGCAATCAACCCTCCATCTTTTAGGGCACTCCCGAAAGTCACCTCTCCAGGAAGTTTCTCAAATCCTTGCAAGAGGTCTGATTCCCCTCGTTTCACACATCCCCCCAGCTGTCCTCACCTTTCCTTCGCTGCACGAACCACAATTACCCGCTGTGATCACCTGCCTGTCTGTGCAATCACTGTCTAGTCTGTCAGCTGCACAGGACACGGCTGTGTCCCTTTTGTTCACAGTCCAGCCTCAGTTATCAGCATATGTGTCAGTGCCTAACCCATAGTAAGTCCTGAACAGATACTGAGTGAGTGAATGAAATAAATGGCTCAATGAGTGAGTCACACTGATGAGGAGCATAGTGATGGATATAAATATATGCAGAGGATGCACTGAACCATGAGTATTCTCCTTCTCGTGGCATAAGGGGACCTCAGGGGTTTCCAGGAACATTATTTGAGCCAGGTATCTTTCACTGTCAATCAATGTGAGTAAGCCGTAAGGCTTTCATAATATGGTCTAAGTTTTGCGAACAGTAGAAACCTGAGTCCTTCATGGAGACCGGATGGATTTTGCAGAAGGAAATCAATCTTTGCCATGGTGAGGCTCTGATTTCAGAGCCTTTCGGAGCAGCCTGAGCAGCCCAGGTAGAATCCCTCTGCTGTCCTATTCCAAACCCTCCTTCCCCCAAAGCTTTCCTGACACAGAAGCAGCAGAGGCTGGAGAGAAGGCGGAGCCTCTGCTGATCTGGTATGGTGAGCAGAGGAAGGTAGATGGGACAATAGCTGGCACAGGGCTGTATGCTTGTTCCCTGTCATCCCTGTCCCCAACCATGGCATCTGGTGGGCTTCGCCAATGCCCACACTCAGGGCACTCTGTAAGGAGAAGGTCCACTCACCCATGATGATCCTGCCCCAGACTTTGTCCATCCCCCTCCCACGCTCCAGAGTAGCTGACCACACCTGGCAGGACAGATAATGGAGACACGGAGACGGCTACAAGGTAAATGAGTCTATAAAAGAGAATGGCGTTCCATCAACATATCCTTAGAAATACACCTGGCTCATTGACAGACTGTTGGCGCTGGCAGGTCAGCGCACTCTGCACTCTGTAGGCAAGCTGTGAGGCCACATTCTGGAATTGGAGTTCTAGAATCACAGCAAAGACAGGGATTGAGCTTGTGAAGTGCCTCTCAGCCCATTAGCCCCTGGGAGGCTGAGGCTGGGCTGGGGTGGGCCTGCCGTTGCCTCCTGAATGGAGGTTACTCTGTCTGGGCCTCCACAGCCCATCGATCCCCATCTGATGATGCTCTTCCTTTAGATGCGTTCACGCATTTGTCAGCTCTCTCTCAATCTGGTGGCCCTGGGAGGCATCTGTGCCTTTGCATGAGCTTGCTGGTTTCTGCTCCACCCTGAGCACTGGATTTATAATCCTACCACAGAGAACAGCTAAGCACCTCTGTTTCAAAGTTCTCAGAGGACAGATGTCCACATGCTGCCTAGACACTGTCACGTTCTGGCAGAGAGCGAGCCCCCCTCACCCGGCACCCGTGGCTCTGATTGCTTTCATGATGCTGTCACTGACCTGGCAGCCAGGGATAGCCCAGCAGGATGAAGGCCCTTCATGCCGCCCTTTCTGCAGGGGGAAGCCAGCTTTGACAGGCCCTACTCCCTTCCAAACCTCATCATCTCTGCAGTAGTGCAACGCTGCAGTTAAAAAGGAAAAGGAAATGAGTCCTCAAGCAGAGCTCTCTGGGATACTGGATTCATTTAAATTTATTTCACATTACTTTTCAGACTAAGCCTTCTCTTCTCTATCTTTGCAAAATCTGGACAAATATACAGCAGGGGCGTTTAGAGGATTTCAAGCATCAGCTTAACTTAACTAAGTCATGATTTTACCACTCATCACTGTTGTCACAACTGACAAAAACTCAACTCACACAAACTTATATGTAAAGAAGGGACTTTGTTGGCTCACAAAACTGAAGGGTTGAGAAGTAGTTCCAAGCTTCAGGTGTGGCTTGATCCAGAGCCTCAGGTGATGTCATCAGGTACCAGCCTCTCTGTCTCTGAGCTCTGCTTCCTCTACATTGAGTCCCCATTCAGGAAGGCTTTCTCGTGGCAGCTTCAGCTACCAGCTCAACACACTCAGCAAAAAGAAAGCTTCTCTTTAATAGTCCAGCTAGGGTTACCAGATTTAGCAAATATTTGGGACACACTTACACTAGAAAATTATTCCTTGTTGATCTGAAATTCAAATGTAACTAAGCATCCTGTATTTTATCTGGCAACCCTCAGTCCAGCACAGGTCCTAGGACTGAATCAGGGCAATTGGATCACATACCATCCCAGACCCAGTTGCTGTGGTCAGGAGAATGGGCCATGCCAATGGCAGGCCAGGGTCACCTGCCTATCCCTGGAAAGAGGGGAACAGGGTCAGACACCTAGTGTACATGATCCAATAGTGGGAGATGGGGTCCCTTCCCCAATAACTGGGATGCTGACCCTAGAAGAGGGGAATGAACCCTGACAGGCAAAAAGAACAGAAGTCCACACAGTGACCTGGAAAGTCCCAGACAACAGTGACAATCATACAGCTCCACGCGGTTGTATGGCACACAGTCATTTACAACGCATTTTCCCGGCTCTCTTTCTTTGCCACCCACACCTCTGTTTGGTTGGCAGAGCAGGTGTTATAATCACTCCATGTTACTTCGCGAGGACTGCCATCACAAAGTACCACCGACTGGGGCCTTAAACAGCAGACGTCTGTTTTCTGACTATAATTCTGGAGGCTAGGAGTGCAAGATGAAGGTATCAGCAGGGTTGGTCTCTTCTGAGGGGTCTCATAGATGGCTGCCTTCTCCCCGTGTCCTCTCACAGTCTTCCCTCTGTGTGTCTGTGTCCTAATCATCTCTTATAAGGACAGCTGTCATATTGGCTTGGGGCCCACCCTAATGACTCATTTTAACTTAATCACCTTTTTAAAGACCCTATCTCCAAATACAGTCCCATTCTGAGGTCCTGGGGGTTAGGGTGTCAACAGATGAATTGGGGACAGAATCAGCCCATGACACTACCCTGCCCTTTTTTTTTCCAGATAAGGAACAGGACGGTGAGGGTGGTGACGACTTGTCCCCAGTCCCAGGGCTGATTTAGTGGTGGCGCTCAGTGAGGAGCCTTGTCCAGCTCCAAACAGCGGCAGCCCCTGCACCCGCGGAGCCTCTGCCTGGCCTTGTCCCGCGTCGCTGCTGTCAAGCCGCCGCTCCCTCCCTGGAGAGCCACAGCAAGCCCACCTCCGCAGTCCCCGCGCCAGCACAGGCCGGGCGCCCAGCAGACAACCTTCTCGAAATCCTTGAAAGGAATGAAACTGGAAAAAAATTCCTCCAGAGTTTTAGATTTAGCTAAAAGGAGAGGAGGACAGGCGCTCATGATTTGAAGCGATAAAGACTCTTTAGATCAGCGAAAATGATGAGGCCTATGGATGTGTAAATGAGCCAGGGAAGAACTAATCAGAGGGGTAAATTACAAAACAGAAAAAGACTATAAAATAAGCGAGGGGAGAGCAGTGAATATTTCAGTGTCTTTAGTTCATAAGAAATTCATGAGCAACGCGTGTGGAAATTTTGTTGGTTTTGGTGGTGGGAAAGAATTGTAAATATGTATAATATGTAAATACCTTTTATAAGAAAAGCCCATGAAGATAAATGAGCCTGTCTGCAGAAAAGCTGTGAGCTGTATAAGATGCTAATATAACTGTCGTCACTCTAAGAAATTACCATAATGCTTACAGGGCCTGGAAAGTTCCTGAGCTTGGGAAAGAAACGCGTAAATACTAACCAGAAAACAGCGTGCGCACGTCTCTTTTCCCCCTTCTTTCGTCCCAACTTCCCTTCCCTTTAATTTCCTTTAATTTTTTTTTAAACGTGAGAAAGGCAGCCTTGGTGAAAACAGGCATTGGAGTTGCACCGATGTGGGTTCAACACGACTTCCTTGCACCCCCGACAGGCCGTGCGATCTTAGGCAAGTCGCCGGGTCGCTCTGGGACTCACTTTGCCCATCTGTGAAATGGGGCTACCGGCCCCTACACCGCGCCACGTCTTGGGGAGGAGCGAAGGGGAGGGCCGAGTAAGGCTCAGGCCGCGCCTCTCCCCGCCGGGCGCGGGCCGTCGCCCGCCCGCTGCCGAGGGCCGGCGGGGGAGGAGGTGGGCCGGGCCGGGCCGGGCCGCGGCGGGGCGGGGCGCAAGGACGGCCGGCCCGATGGACTCGGGCCCTGGCCGAGCCGATGGCGGCGGGGCGCTGGGCGCCTGGCCTGTGGCGGGCCTGCAACTGGCTCATGGCCGCCTTCTTCGCGCTGGCGGCCGTGGTGCAGGTCAGCGCCCAGGTCCCGGCCCCGGGCGGCGGGCGGCGGGCGGCGGCGGCGGCGGGAGAGGGGCCTGCGGGCCCCGCGGGGCGCCGGGCTCCGAGCACCGCCCCGGGCCTGGCGTGCAGTGTAGACTGCGAGCCGGCTAGGGCGCCAAGGCGGGCAAGTTAGGCGGAGGATGGGAATTGAGGGTCATGCCTTGGGAAGCCCTGCTCCCTCCCCCTGCGCAGAAGCCGCCCTGGCACCTTTCTGAAAGGGCAGCCTGTGGATGAGGCTGAACACAAGTCAGGGCCTGGGAGCAGGAGCAAAACCCTGTATAGCGTAATTATCCTTTCAAGTCCGCTTTGGGGCGCCCTTCATATAGCCTTCCTCGTTCCTTGAGGCTGGGCGGGGCTTAAAATACCGAGTCTAGGTTTGGCTCACCCTTTTCAGAGTTCCTGTGCATTGTTTACAAAAATGTGTGGCTGTATGTTCAAACCATCTGCTGTGGTGGCCAGAAGCCCCTTAACCATCGTGACCCCTAGACTCTCATTCCTATTTTGTATCCTTGGTGCCTATAGCAGCATCTGGCTCTTAACAAATGACTGAAATGAATAAAGAGCAGACCAAACATAGGAAAGGCACATGACAGCATGTCTGCTAATGCCTTGATGTTTTGGCATTTCAGGTAAATGATCCAGATGCTGAAGTCTGGGTGGTGAGTATGAGGTGCTTTCCTCCATTTGAAAGAATTGTGCAACTGCGTGAAATTCACACTTTTATCTGTTTACCCCTCCTTCCTGCTTTCTGTACTTAAAAGCTTAGAAATCATATCCTTTCTAAGTTTTTTCCCCTAAAATATTAGAGAAAAGGGGTCAGACTGATAATGTAATGTGTTTGTAAATTCATAATTTTCCAGACACATAGGGGCTTTTCAGCAATATTTTCTTTGAATAAAAGGGTCCAACTGAGGACACTCATCTGAAGACAGAGTGTACCTCTGAAGGTCAACTGAACCATTTCTCATGAGTTTCTACCCCAAAACTCCAATAAACCTTTAAGTAGAAAGCGGCAGGCTTAAGGTTTATGGTTCTGCCAATTCAATGAGTTATATTTATAGAAAGTCATTAAAGCCCATAAAACCTGTAGTGTACACGGAACCAAGGCTCTGATCGAACCATTTGGAGGAGGGGGAGATCATTCCACACATTTTCGGAAATATCAGATTTTGCCCAGTTTCTTTGAATACAGATAGACGAGCCTGTACAGTGTCACCAATTAGATTATTTTGGGCTTTGGAATAATGTTGACCATGTACACATTAGCAACAAGTGAAATCATTTGGAATTATAATGTGAAATTCTAGTCAGCTGAATTCTAGCATTCTGATATTGCTTATTGTCCAGATTCACATGCCCCTGAATCAAATCAAATTGCCCCTTCCTCCACATTCTGGTCCATACCCTGAGTTCCAAATACTATTTCCCTGCAGACAATATCCACTATCTCAATATCTCAATAACCAGTATCTCAAATATCCAGCTTAATGTTGAATTTCCAAAAGACTGCTAGACCTGTCCACCTGTACATCATCCTGGCTCCTGAGGTATGCCCAAGGTCCTCCCCAGCATCTTCCCTCCCAAACTCACTCCTCCTGACTCACCCATTTCTCTTACCAGCAGAATCACTCCCTGGGTCATCCTTGCTCAAAACTGCAGCCACCTCGAACATCTCTCTGTTCCTTATCATTATCTTTGAGATCCCCCTCAAAAAACAAAATAAAGAACAAAGAATTCCAACAAAAAACAATTTAAGTCTAATTGCTTGTCTATACAGTTCCTGTACATTTTCCCTTTCACTTCATGCTTATATGACATAATACGAAAAATAATAAACACCACGGCCCCACAGACATCCTCCCTCAGCCCCAGTTCAGCTCTCCATCACCTCCCACATGGACCCTCGTAATAGCTTCCTAAACCTGCTAGCTGCCTCTAATCTCTTCCACTCCTAGAACACTTCTTACATAGTGTTTCCTGCTTCAGAAACTAGTCATTTTCCAAGATGCCTAAGCTGAAGCTCTCCAACTTGGAATTCAAGGCCCAACACAACATGGCTCTGACCCACCTTCCCAGCTTGGTCTTGGAAGCCCAGTCCACCTAATATAGTTTCTGTGACTTGCCCCTAGAAGTCCTGTGTCATACTCTACTCAAGCTTCAAGGTCTATCTCAAATGCTCTCTCATCCAGAATCTGTCTCTGCCTATTTCCCATAGGTTCCAGCACCCTTCCTTTGAAGCTTCATTGTAGCACTAACGCATTCTGCTTTGCATTAGAGTTGGCTCTGTATATGCCAGCTCCCAGGGGGACAGGGACCAGTTCTTCCTTATTCTTGCTGGTCCTCAGGCAACCTAACATAGAGACTTCTTATGGCAGTCCTTCCTGTATTGACTCGAGTGAGTGAAAGAATGAACGGATGCTCAGATGAATGAGTATTACATTACTGGGTTTGGAGGGCTCATACTCCACCAGACTCATTTCCATGTTCCCTACTTCCTCTTGCTCATAGAGGACAATTCTATCAGGATAGAAAATCTGACTAGCTTCAGGCTATAAAAATAGAGTACCTCATCTAACAAGAAGTCCAGAGGCAGCTGCTTAATGGTCAACAATCAGCAAGGACCTGGGCTTTCTGTCTTTCCTCTCTGCCAACCTCAATGTGTGGGTGATACATCCTCTCATGTTTACAGAATGGCTGCTGCAGCTCCAAACATCGTCCCTACACAAGAACATCCCAAGTAGGAAGAAACAAGGCAGGAGCAAAACGAGTTTTCCTCCTGTGCTTTCCTCCCCTTTATCAGGGAGGAAATGTTTTCCAGGAATCCCCTCAGACAGGCTGCTAGTCAGTCGGTACATACCAATATGGCTTATGGCCTGGGATCCATTTTGCTTGGTCAGCACCCATGCATATTGGTTGCTGAGTGCTTTGAGTATCAGCCTTGCTATGAGACTTCTTACATTTCACTGCTGGAGCATGACCACCCCTAGCTGCTGAAGAGGCTGGGAAAACAAATGGGCTTTTTTAGCTTTTACAGCAGCAGGTGAGCAAGGCAGAGTGGTGTTAGGAATGACTGCCATGGGACTCAATGACTAAGTGGGGAATTAAACTAAATATTATAAATAAATATTATGATGCCCTTAGTTTTAAAAAAAATCCACCAACAAAAAGATAAAAGACCATTATAAATGGGTTCTACTGAGTTCATTATTGAGTATTAGTACTGTATATTGTTTTAACTTGTGTACTAGAAACAATTATTTCCAGTCTCTCTGCCCTCAAAACAAATTTTTTTATTTCATTCAAGATAGAGAAAAGCATTTAAATAAGGATTAACATGGCACAATTGCCATGGGAAACCATCACTTAGTTCAAAGGGTCATTTTTACAATACACTGAAATAAGAAGGTTTTAGACATCTTAATCTATTAATGACAGATAGCTGATACATTTGAATGCACAATTTAATAATCTCTGCCAAACAGTTCTTACGGAGAGCACAATTAAATATTGTATGATGTGTGTTTGCATATGTTTAAATTCTCTGTCTTTCTCCCCCACCCCACCGCCCTCTCTCAGGAACTAAGTCATGTAGTTTTTCACGGGGGGGGGGTGGGAAGTTAACCCCTTACCGCTCTAAGTATGGTCCTTGGAACAACGGCAGCAGCAGCCCCAGCCCCTGGGAGCTTGTTAGAGAAGCAGAACGTTGGGCCCTACCCCAGATCTCTAGACTGAGATCTGCATTTAAACAAGATCTCCGGGTGATTTGCATGCTCATTACAGTTTGGGAAGCACTGGTCTAGCCGTCTGTAGCATGCCTGTCCGCCTGTGAGAGATGAGCAGACTTGCAAATGCCGATATCGGCCAATATCCCAGCAATCATTTGGGATGGACCAGGAGAGATGAACACAGAGTCTCTAATCCAGAGGCTTTCTCTCTCTAGGGTCAAGACATGTTTTTATAGTGAAAACAAATCACTTAAAGTGCACAGCTCTGACAACTTCCAAATAAACTAAAAGTTTCTAAGAATCACAATTGCTACGGTTAAGCAGCACCAGTTTTGGGAAAGCCCCCAAGCTTCTTATAAACCTCCCATCCCCTCCTTGCTCTCTGTCTGCAACACACATGGCAATAGCAAGTTTGGCTAGAGTCTGCTTGCTATGAATGAGGTTTGAAAATAGGGCTTCTTTAGCACCATCTGCCAGACTCCAACTTCTCAATAGTTTCCAAAATGAAGAGCCTGATCTTACTGGGGACATCAGATCCATATATTGTTTGTAAACTTTCTGTGGTCTCACCTGCAGAGATGGAATATTGGACTGGATGGCCCATGGGGCCAGACCCAGCAGGGCCATCTAGCTAATTATGGCTCCTCCTGCCCTACTTTTCAAAGAGCATTTTCTTTTACGCAAGTGGGGAAAGGCCATTTGGGCATGGCTTGGGAGAGACTAGGAGGTCAGCGTGTCTTAAGACAAACTCTGCTCAATGCTAGAGCTCAAAGATGAATGAGACTTTCCTGGAATAGCCTAAAGTTTAGGCATAAGGCAGATAAAATTACAAATTGACATGGTAAATGCCATAGAAGCAGAGGTTACCACTTCCCCAATTGTTACTGAAACTTAGGGGTAAACGATGGAGCGTGACACCCACTGCAGTCATCTTTCTTTATTTCCGAGCTATCTCGGAACACCTCCTATACCGGGCAAACTTCGTAACCCACATACTTTCCTCTCTTTGCTGACAGATGGTGTATATGATACCTGCAGTGCTGACTCTCCTTGTTGGACTCAACCCCCTTGTCACAGGTATGAACCTTGGATTCTGGATGGAGATACAGCAAATCAGATTGCCTCATAATAGTGAGAGTCGATCTGCCCAACTCCCGGGAGAAAACCAGGGCTCTCCAGGTCCTCCCTCTCCAGAGGAGGCTAGTTGTAATCCAGACCACCCTCACCCATCTTCAGGTGAACTTCACAAGGACTTGCCACACTAAGACGGTCTTTGTCAATTTGGATCCCAGGGTCTCTGATGCGGTTGTGGAATAGGAATTACGCAGTTCAGCGCCTAAGAGAGAAGGGCTTCAGGCACTGCATTGATTTCTTCAGCCACGAAGCCAATGGAAAATCAACCGCTATCAAAGTGCTAACTTTGTGTCCCCATACTCAGTGGCAGTCAGTGTCTATTGTATATTTACTCTTTACAAATTCTTCTTAGACCAATACCACTCCCGTTAATCATTTTCTTATTTTGAATTCATCCAATGTCTATGTATACGAACTGCTACTTATGTAGAGAAACTGTTTATAAAATCTCTAACAAATCCCTAGATTTTTGATTACTACATGTTGCTCTCTCTCATCTCCCTAGATGCTGTCAATGTACCTACAGCGATTTATTGTATGCTTTTCTCTACGTTTCCCCCTGCTAGGCTGTAAGCTCCTTAAAAGCAGGATCATGTCTCAGCCATCTTTGCCCAAACTAGCTTAAATATGACCAGGAATATGGTAGGTGCCTAATGCTTGCTCAGTAAATGGAAGGCTGTGAAACAGAGGCTTTCCCATATGTTTGTTTGTAAGCTGATCCTTGCGCTTCTTACATACAGATCCCAGCTGGGTAGACATGTAAAACGGTTTCACTTAAAATAGTGATTTGTATTGCCTGCGGGCTACCAACCTCAGTGCTGGGCAAAACGCAGCTGCTTTGCCTTTTATGGCCCTAAAAACTCTCAACAAACCTTAAGTTGGACAGCTTTATACTATAAAACTGTGTCTTGTAACAGAAAAAAAGACATTTTACATTGCTTACTTACATTTTCTTATTAATGGGACGCCTAGTCCTGACAGGTTATTCGTCACTTCCTTTAAAACAGCTTCTCCTAGTGGGGCTTGGAAGTTCTCAGGGTTTAGAATAGAGACTAATGATCCCTCCTGGGGGGAAGCTCTCGTCCCCTAGATTGTACAGGCTCCTTGTTTGGGCCCCTAGAACTCTGCCTACATCTTTAAGGTGTATCCGTTAGGGCTCCATTAGTTGCAAGCAAGGAAAAAACTCAACTCATATGGGCTCTAAGTGAAAAAAGGGATGCACTGGGATACTTGACTGACAGGCCCGGGGGTGGTGGAGGCTTCAGGCACTGCTGGCAGCTCAAAAGGTAAACTTCTCTGCACTCTGAGTTCCACCACCTGCTGCGCTGACTTCAGTCCTGGGCTCCACACGGTAGCCCCGCAGCTCAAAGTTCACCTCTCCCTGCTGCCAAGTCCAGCAGCATATAGACTCCGCTCCTCTGATAGCTCCACAAGGCTCAGAAGTGAGCTGTTGGCCCTGATTCATCAGATTTGTCATCTATTCATCCTGCGCCGCATCACTGTCGCTAAGGGGCTGAAGTGCATTGATGGACCTAGCTAAGGTCCAGTTGTCTGGGACACATGGACTGGGGGTGTGGGAAGGGTGGATCCCCAAAGGAAATAAGGATAGTTGTCATAGAGGGGGGAGCTGCTGGACAACCAAAATGATCAGCATCCACGTAAGTTTATAATTACTGCTTTAACACCTATGATGTCCTTTAAAACAAAACAAAACTAAAAAAAAACCAACCCAGCTTGTTCTGAATGCTTTCCCTGAAAGCAGATATAAAGAGATGATTTTTCTCTGGGATGTGATCCATAATTAACAGCACGAGGACATCTCTTTTTAGGGAACTTTATTTGGAAGAGTGTCTCTGCAATACACATATTCTTCTGCATCACGTGGGCTGTCGGCTTGGCATACTACCTCCTGCTTCATACACAACAGAACATCATACATGAGGAAGAAGGCAGGTGAGCCGTGACTTTCGCTCTTTGGAAGGTGTGGGGTAGAACTGAGGAATCTTCTGTCCCTTCCTGACACCTTTTCTGCACAGTGAGGATGTAATTCCCCCAACGACACCCTGAGGAGCAGGGAGTGTATCATCTCCTTTATAAGCTAAAGAAACTGAGGAAATGATGGAGCCAGGATTCAAACCCAGCACCATCTACCACACTCCATGATCACCACCACAGGCAGCCATTAAGCATTACATTATATGAATGTAAATTACCATCAGGCAGTTTGGACCTTGACCCCTTATAACGAGCAAAGACAGTATACAGTAACACTCAGTCCAGTCTAAAGGTGAAAACTCCATCAGCATTCTGATTCAGTTCTAGTTCAAGCCAAAATCTTATCTACAAGTGTGATCAGCTACCTCAGAGGTCAACCTCTGTCAGCCTTGCCCACGTATGTCTCATGTCATCTTCCTCTGTCGCAACCATTCATGCTTTTTTTAAAGATTGGCACCTGAGCTAACATCTGTTTCCAATCTTCCTTTTCTTCTTCTTCTCCTCCTCCCCAAAGCCCCCCTCGTACATAGTTGTGTATTCTAGTTGTGAGTGCCTCTGGTTGTGCTATGTGGGATGCTGCCTCAGTGTGGCCTGATGAGCAGTACCATGTCTGTGCCCAGGATCTGAACCAGTGAAACCCTGGGCCGCCAAAGCAGAGCGCGAGAACTTAACCATTTGGCCACAGGGCTGGCCCAAGTCACAACCATTCATTCTTTCTTTTTTTTTTTTTTTAAAGATTTTATTTTTTCCTTTTTCCCCCCAAAGCCCTCCGGTACATAGTTGTATATTCTTCGTTGTGGGTCCTTCTAGTTGTGGCATGTGGGACGCTGCCTCAGCGTGGTTTAACGAGCAGTGCCATGTCCACGCCCAGGATTCAAACCAACGAAACACTGGGCCACCTTCAGCGGAGTGTGCGAACTTAACCACCCGGCCACGGGGCCAGCCCCACAACCATTCATTCTTAAAATATCACCTCTTCTTTTGCTTCCTCTCACCCTTGATTCCCTGGCCTCTCTAATAGACCCTTTCCTTTCTTTTCTGTCCTGCTGCTAACATCTGCCAACAGTAAGCTTTGGAGACCTGTAAGTTAAGCATCACTAGTGCTACATAAAAGGCCCTAATCCTTGAAAAACTGGATCAGGTTGGGTCAGTCAATGAGAATGTAAACCAAATGAGTTGAATCATCTCCACCAACTTGAAACCCATGAGTTATGAACTCAACGTGGGGCTTTCAGTGGTACAATGGCCAAATGTGATTGTTTTCTACTCCATGTAAAATATATGTGTTTTAACACATATTTCTAGAAGCATATACCCACCCAAAAATCATTAGTCTGACTCAAACTACAAGTCATTCCTCTCCACTAAGACGTGATCCAATCTCCTACAATACATGCTCAAATTATTGATTTGAGCTCAACCTGCCTAACACCGAACCCTCTAGAACAATGTAAAAAGAACCCCTGATCAATTCCGGGATTGTTCTCTTGGCTATACTACTCCTCCCAGTGATGTGAAGTAAGTGATTTATCTGTGTTTTTGTTTTGTTGTTGTTTTTGTTCATTTATGAGTTTGGGAACAGTGATGGAGCTCAGATCTGCCTCATAGCATGAAATCTATTTTCATATAAGGCTTTAAGCTGTCTGAAAAAAAGTAATTTATGAGTCATGGCCAGAATGGAAAATATTCTGTAGATGCTATATATCTTGGGGGAAGTCATCCAACAATCAGCAGAATCAAGTGGTCATGGAGAGAAAGGGATGATATGCATGTCACTTGCAGCTACTTCAAAAATATGAAATGTATCCTATTTTATAGGGAGCTGTTTGGTCTGGTGATTATTACGGCATGGATGAGCCTATGCCACAGTTCATCAAAGTAAGTTTTCAACTTGATTAAAATCAGATGTCTTCAAGGTTGGTAAAGTGAAAATATTGATACACAAGTGAAAACAGGAATCTTTTGAAAGAAATCTTTCCTTTTCCTAAAGAAAGCTAATAATAGTTGGTTCAGAGTTTCATGATCACTCACACTTTCATGAGTACCATGGTTTCCCATGTGGCCCAGTGTAATCATAGGGAGTTGCCTGCCTGAAGGGTTTTCTTCAAGGAGAAGGAAAGTTATCTCAGAAGGAAGCTTGGAGATTCAGGAAAGAATGAAGGACAAAGAAAACATAAAAATATGGGCTCATATAAATGAATGTTAACTTTATAAAATAGTAATGATGTGTGGTGGGGTTTAACATATAAAGAAAAAAATACATGACAACAGTAGCATATAAGTTGGAAGGAGACAAATGGAGTTAAAGTGTTTTAAGGTCCTTGAATTGTCTGGGAAGAGGTAACAGTAGCAGTTTATACTAGGCGTTTATAAGTCGAGGATTCTTGTGGTAATCCTTAGGGTAAACACTAAAAGAACAGAAAGTGAGTACAGAAGGCAGGAAAAGAGAGGGGAAAAGACAGAGAACAGAAGGGAAAAATAGGAAGCAGATGGTTAACATAGAGATTTAAACCCAACTATATTAGAAAATACATTAAATGTATATGTTCCAAATATTCCAGTTAGGAACCAGAGATTTTCAAAGTGGATAAAAAGATTAAAAACCCAACTAAACACTGCTTCCAAAAGATAACCCTTAAATACACAGATACAGAAAGACTGAAAGTCTAAGGATGGTAAAAATATACTATACAAATACCAACCAAATGAAAGCCAGTGAAGCAATTTTAATTTTAAAAAGCAGACTTTAAGACCAGAGAAAAAAAGACCACGTATTTTTAGAGAAAAGTGATTTTTTTGGTGATTATTTCAATTTTTTTGTTTTAATTTTTTATTTTGAAAAAATTTCAAATATATATAAAAGCAGAGAGACTAATATAATGAATCAGATGTACCCATCACTCAACTTCAACAAATTAACATTATATGTCCAATCTTATTTCATTTATATCACTGTCCTCTTCACACTTACAGATTATTTTGAAATAAATGTCAGACATCACCTTGTTTTACCTGTAAATATTTCAGTATGTATCTCTAAAAGATAAGCACTTAAAAATAACCACTCTAGGGGCCAACCCGGTGGCACAGTGGTTGGGTTCGTGCACTCCACTTCAATGGCCCAGGATTTGCGAGTTTGGATCCTGGGCATGGGCCTGCACATCGCTCATCAAGCCATGCTGTGGCAGCATCCCACGTACAAAAAAATAGAAGAAGACTGGCACAGATGTTAGCTCAGGGCCAATCTTCCTCACCAAAAATAAGTAAATAAAATAAAAAAAACCATTCTACCATCATTACACAAAAAATAAAAGAACAATAATTCTTCAGTATTTTCAGTTAATGTTTACATATCCCAATTGCCTTATAAATGTTTATTCCTCTGTGTCCTATATTTCTGATAAATTGGTGGTTATATCTAGAGGCTTGGCTAGATTCTGGTATTATTACTTTTTTATTTCTAATATCATTCCTAGACAGGACTACTTCATGGGTGGTGTTATGTACTTCTATCATAATATACATAAGACCTAGCTGTTTCTCTGCGATGTTAATATAACAGTCTTTAATGATCATTGCCTAAACCTATTGATTCATTCGAGTTGCAAAATGGTGATATTCTAATTATAGCCTTGCTTGTTTATTAGCTAGAAAAATTCTATAAAGAGAAATTTCCATATATCAATTCCTTGACTACTCTGAGGTACAGATTGTCAGAGGAAAAGGAGTTGATTTTGTCTCTTAATTTACCAGTTTTCAAAATAACAAGTTGTTTCTTACCTGGGCATCTTCTGAAAGTGACTAATCAGTTTTATTTATTTGTTGTTTTAGTAGGGCCATTATAAAGTCATGGATTTCAACATATTTGATATTTTTCAGTCCATGGCAGTTATTATCTTTATTGATGCTCAGATTGTCCCTTTTTTTTTTTTTTTTTTGACCAGTGGTACATACTCAGGTTGGCTCCTGAATTCTTTTCAACATGACCCTAGTAATGGTATTTAGAGCTCACAATCTGGGCATGAGCAATGCACATTGCTAATGGGTTTGTCATTGGTTCTTTCTAGTGCACAAAGCTAGGAAATTCACATATATGTGCATATGTATGTGTATATATGTATGTGTGCGCCATAAACATACATGCATATATACATATATATTTATATATATTACATATATATTTAAAGATAAAATACCTTATGAGTTCATACTAATCCTAGCAATTCGAATTCAGGAACACAGGTTTTCATTTAACCTTATCAGCAATCTTAAATCTGTATCTCCTTTTAATCCTGTCAAAAAATCTCTAGTCTCAGTGACCTCAGCATAATAATTCATTTGACTTATCCCACAATGCAAACACAATCTCAGAATAACAACATAATTATTGGAAACAGGTTTTTGTTTGTTTGTTGTCATTGTTAGGGAATATCCCATTAAGGGACGTGCATTCAAATTGCTTGGAATAGTTCTCTGTGTGCTAATGCCACCAAGTGAATACAAAGTTAAGTTATCACATTTTACTTTCAATTTCTAGGGATAACTTTATTTAAAATATATTAATTTTGTTTTATAATTATAAAAAATATCTACATGGTTCCAGAGTCAAATCTACAAAACAAAGTATATTCAAAGAAGTCTAGCTTCTCTATCCCCTGACCCTATATCCTCTCTTTCTCTATAGGTGAAACTTTTTTCAATTTTACGGTTTATCCTTCCATGGTTTCTTTTTTTTCTTGGTGAGGAAGATCAATCCTGAGCTGACATCTGTTACCAATCTTCCTCTTCTTGCTTGAGGAACATTGTCCCTAAGCTAACTTATGTGCCAGTCTTCCTCTACTTTGTATATGAGACGCCACCACAGCATGGCCTGATGAGCAATATGTAGGTCTGCACCCGGGATCTGAAGCCACGAATCCTGGGCCACCAAAGCGGAGTGCACAAACTTTAACCACTACACCACCAGGCTGGCCCCCATGGTTTCTTAATAAAGCAAATATAGTCATGCATCACTTAACAAGGGGGATACATTCTGAGAACTAAGTCATTAGGCGATTTTGTCATTGTGCAAACATCATAGAGTGTACTTACACAAACCAAGATGGTATAGACTACCATACACCAAGGCTATATGGTGCTAATCTTATGGGACCACCATCATACATGCAGTCCATCGTTAACCAAACTGTCATTATGCGGCACATGACTGTATGTGCAATCTATTTGTATTCCTGCTTGTCCTAGATAAGTGGTAGCACTATTGTACGCAATTGTATTCCCCTTGATTTTTCTCTTACTACATCCTAGAGATCATTCTATAGTATGATTTATTGTATCTTCCTGATTTAATGAATTATATAGCATATCTTCCTTACCTAATGAAACTTTTGTCATTAAAAAGTATCTGCTTTTGGCACTTTTTTTGAAATCTACTTTTTAATAAGTGGTGTTGAGATAACGCTAAGTGGAAGAGATAATATTGGTATATAAATATTAGTATAATATTAGTATATAAGTATATAATATTAGTATATAAGAGATAATATTAGTATATAAAGACTTTCCTTATTCTGTTGACAGAGCCATAGTTTATTCATCCATTCCTCTACTTTTTAGATTGTATCCAATCTTTTGCTATTAAAAATAATGCTAACAGAATACATTATCAGAATTTTGAATTTTTACTAATGGGATAGTTGAGAAATGGGTATTTTTAATCCGCCTATCTCTTATTAGGTGTAAAGGTGAGCATATTTTCATATGGTTAAGAGCCATTTGCATTTCTTTTTTAATAAAATGTTGGTTTATCTCTGAGAGATAGAGGTTAAACCTTTTTCTCTCTAAGGTTGTTGGCCTTCTCTATTTTTAGAAGCTCTTTATATACTATGGCTATTAACCCTTTGTGATAGAAGCTGAAAATTTTTTTTGCAGTTTCTTATTTTCCTTTGCTAATGCAAAGTATACTTTGCCACAAAAAAGCTCTGTGTGGTTTTTTTTTAATGTAACCAAATTTATCAATCATTTCCCTTATTGCTTCTGAATTTGGAGTCATAGTTAAGAAAACTTTCCTTCTTCTCAGGTTGTAAAGTAACTTACTAAGAAAACTAAGTTTTCTTCTAATACATGTGTAGTTTCATTTTTACATTTAAATCTTTGATCTATTTAGAATTTATCCTAGTGTAACGTTATAAAGAATGGATCCAATATTATCTCTTCCACTTAGCATTATCTCAACACCACTTATTAAAAAGTAGATTTCAAAAAAAGTGCCAAAAGCAGATACTTTTCAATGACAAAAGGTTCATTAGGTAAGGAAGATATGCTATATAATTCATTAAATTATATAGCAGGAAGATACAATAAATCATCATATCAGGAAGATATAACAATTCTAAATTTGTACATAACTAATAATTACAAAATAGATAAAACAAAATAGATAAAACAAAATTGACAGAACTAAAAAGAAAAATTGAAAAATCTATAATCATCTTGGGAGACTTTAATACACTTCTCTCAGTCACTAATAGAACAAGAAGAAAAAACAAAAATCAATAAAGGTATCAAAGATTTGAACCACACAATAAAAAACTTGACATATACATAGTGGACATATACAGAACACCAGAACCAAGAATGGCAGAATTTACATTCTTTTCAAGTATACATTGCATGTTTACAAAAAGACTTTATGTTGGGCCATGAAATAAGTGCCAACGAATTTCAAAGACCTGAAATTCTATGGAGTATGTTCTTTGACCACAGTGCAGTTAAACTAGAAATCATTAACAAAAAAGATAGACAATCACTGTATGTTTGGAAATTAGGAAATATGCTTTCAAATAACATTTGGGTAAGAGAAGAAATCATGATGGAAATTAGAACATATTTTGAACTGAATTATGAGTACACCACATATTAAAATTTGTGGGATGCAGCTAAAAATCATGTTTAGAGGGAAATTTATAGCCTTAAATACATATATTTTAAAAACACAACAAGAAAGGCTGAAAATCAGTGAACTAAGCTTCCAAGATGTCAGGACTTTTCCAGTTCAAGAAGTTAGGAGAAGAACAGAAAATTAAGCCCAAATAAGGAGAAAACAAATGTAAAAACAGAAACCAATGAAATGAAAAATCAACATAAAAAATAAAGGATTAAGAAGGCCAAATATTGATTCTCTAAAATGATTCATAACGTTGATAAGCCCTGGCAAGACTAAAAGGGGAAAATAATAAGAGTGAGAACAAGGAAGAGGAGGCACAAATAACCAATATCAGGAATGAAAAAGAGAACGTTACTACATATCTAATAGATATTGCAAAAATCAGAGAGGATATTATGAATAACTTTTTGCTCATAAATTTTAAAATGTAGATGAAATGGACAAATTCCTTGAACAATACAATTTATCAAAACTGACATAAGAAGAAATACTCAGAGCAGTCCCATAACTGTTAAAGAAATTGAGTCCTAGCCAGTACAATAAGACAAGAAAAAGAAATGAAAGGCCCAAGGATTGGAAAGGAAAAATTAAATTTTAATTTTTCATGGGTGACATGATTGCGTACGTAGAAAATCAAAAAGAATCTAAAAAGTTATTAGAATAAGTGAGTTTAGCATGATTGCTGGATACTAGCTCAGGATACTAAATTGCTGGATACCACACCAATATACTAAAATTAACTACATTTTTATCAGCAAGTAACAGAAAATGATAAAAACAAAAACCATTTATAACAACATCAAAAAAACCAAATCTCTAGGTATAAATCTAGCAGATATGCAAAATCTCTACACATAAAACTGTAAAACACTATGGGAGAAATTAAAGACGATCTGAATAAATGGGGAGAGAAAGCAATACTGGCAAAAAGATGAACTAATGAAAGAGTAGAATCTAGAAAGAGATCCATACATAGGTAAACCCTGACTTACGAGAGAGGTGGCTCCGCAAAGGAACATAGAAAAGCAGTCTTTTCAATAGTGCTGGATCAATTGGATATCCATGTGGAAAAAAACTGAAACAACCCTTACTCACTCACAACTTTCATAAAAATCAATTCCGGGTAGATTATACCTCTAGTGTGAAAAGCAAAACAATAAAACTTTTAGAGAAGATAATATCATCAAGACCTTGGGGAGGAAAGTTTTCTTGAACAGAACACAAAAATCAATAGGAAAAGATCAATTTTAACATTGCTTAATTAATCCGTGACTTCAGTTCCTCAAAAGACATCATTAAGTGAGTGGGAAAAGCTATTTGCAACATATATAAGCAAGGATTTGTATTTAAAATATATAAAGAACTCTTATAAATCAATGAAATTAATTGATTTTAATTCAATTTTTAAAAAAACTAAGAAAAATACAAAAATCTATTGATGTGTTTTACCAGATTCAATCTTTATACTTGTTTCCAAAGCAAGACATAATTTTTATTGGATTTTTCTTTATAATTATTTTTGTGTCTTTGTAGGAAGCCAGTTGGTGGAAGAATTCAGTTGGCTATTGCCGTTGTCATTGCTCTCTTCCCCCTTCTCTCGTGGGTCTACATATATGCAAACAAGGAGATGCGGTCCTCCTGGCCCACTCACTGCAAGACGGTAATTTAAGTGAAGTCAAGAAGCCTGTTCTGAAAATGAGGATTTGCAATTTCTTATAAACATGGTTGTAACAAGCCAACTTCCTAGCAGTTTATTTCCGGTAATTTGAGCTAATACTACAGATTTTTCTTTTTAATACTGAGAACTTTTTAAGGTTGCCTACAATACAGTGTAGCATTGGATGGGACTAGTAAGAGCAGGGTCTCACATTCTATTGTATCAGAGTGTAGCAGAAAAGAACAAAAGTTGAGAAAAATGAATTCTAACTCAGCTTATCACTATCTATGTGACTTGGGCAAATATATAAATCTCCTGGTGGATATGTCTTTATCTATAAAATAGGATTAATACCAGATCTCCTGCTTAAGTTATACGGTTGCAAGGATTAAACTGGATAACATGACAGCACTCCGAAAATATAAAGTGCTTACAAAGGGCCGCACATGATTAAAACAGAGGGAGGCAGAGTCTGGGTAACAGGACAGAAGGAGAGGCCCAACAGAGGGCTGCACCCTGAGCTAATCTCGTATACTGAACTGGTACAGGGCCATGAACTGAACGAGGGCGCCAGACGAGCCAAACGAACAAGCACGTCTTGGAAAGGAAAGTCGGATAGAATAAAGGAATTTGGGACCGAAAACAATAGGGAATATTAATTACATTGTAAATGAAAAATAAGACCAAAATCCACCCGTTTTTTAAAATGAATATCAAAAGTAACCCCGGGGAGAAGACTGTGTTCGAGCTGTACTCTCCGATATGGTAGACACTAGCACATGATGCACTGAGCGCTTGAAATGTGGCTAGACTGACTGAGGAAGTAAAGCTTTAATTTTTTCATTTTAATTTTTAATTTAAAAACTGCTAATTATTAGAAACCTTGTGTGTTTAGAACATTTGTTTTAAGTGTGTCTGTAACAGCTTGGGTATATGAGTCTACTTCGACTGTAAATTTTATGGTATCTAAATACAGATTTAGTATTTCCAATGAAAATCTGGTGTCCAAAAGAACGTGCTATGAGTCTAAAATATGCACTAGATTTTAAGGATGTAGCATAAAATGAAAGAATGTAAAAAACAATTTTTGTATTGATTACATATTGAAAGAATATTTTACAGATATTAGGTTAAATAAAATATATTAAAATTAATTTTATCTGTTTCTATTTACTTTTTTAAATGTGCCGGGTAGGATATTTTATCACTTATGTGGGTCACATTCTATGTCCGTTGGTCTGTGCTGTTTTGAGCATCTGGATGGCAGCTTTTTTACAGATGTTAGCATCAAACCCGGTAATCAAGCCACTGTTTCATGAGATTTAAGAAATATTTCACTGAAAAAAGAATTAGTACCTACTGTATGTCAGGAGAATAAACATGAATCTAGTAGTTTGTCTCTTCATTTGTATAGCCTTTAATACATAAGTATTCTACAAATATTTGTTCAAGGAAGGATGCATATTTTTTGCTTGCTTTATACAATGGCCACTGGACAGTCAAATTTTCTATCAAGATCTGGACGAAGGAAAAGGAAAAAAAAAATCTAGTTGATATTAAAGCAAATAAAGTGAAATTTAAGGGCCAATAAAATGCAAGGAAAAGATTTGAGTGTTTCAGTGTACATTGAGCTTATATATTTATGGCTTTATATCTTTTAGTATAAGTCACACACGAAGAAACGGACTTATTTGCAAATTCTATATAGGACCCTCCCATCCTCCAAGTAATACTTGATTCCGTACTTAAAAGATAGCAATGTTCCAATTTTTTTTAAAAGACAGTAATGTTCAAGATAGATTTTCATCCTATCTGCATCTCCCATATCAGACTATTAATTCTGTGAATATACCCAGTTGCTTTTTATCTCCATAAGCATGTAAAAGGCACCAACTTTTGGTGGAGTACTGCCTTTTGAAAATGAGTCTTTATTACTGAAATTGTCTTTAAATTCTATTTTTCAACTGAATGTATTATTAGTAAGTTTAATATTTCTATTATCAAAATTTCTGCCTTCCCGCCCTCAGTCTTTTTTCTTCCCATTGTCACTCTTCTACATCAGCCTCTCATCCACTGCCTGGACTGAAACACGAATCTAATCATACATTCCCCAGCTCGGAAAACTGAGGGTTCCTCACTGTCTGACCAGTTAAATTCTAACTCTGGGCTCGTCGCTCAAGGCTCTTTGCCACCTAGCCCTCACCTATCCTTTTCCTGCTTTATTTCTTGCCATAAACCCAAGCACCTTGTACTGAATCCTCACAGCATTACTTGCCACTCCTAAACTCAGCATATCCTGCAGTGACTCTGCTTATGTTATCCTGTCTGCATGAAATGCTCTTATTTACCCTTTTTCTTCCTTCTTCAAGTCATCCCTAAGCCCTTCAAACAAAATTAAATTCTTCCTCCACATTCCCAGTCCTTTGGACACTTGCACCTATGGCTCTGTCTCTCTCTCTCTCATGGTGAGGTCAGTGGACGCAGGGAGCACATTTATAGTCACCTCTGCGGAAGGCTGCATGGCGCTTAAAGATACCCAGGGCCTAATCCCTGCAACCTACGAAGCCTACCTTCTATCACAAAATGGACTTTGTAGATGTGATTAAGCTAAGGATCTTCAGACGGGGAGATTATCTTGGATTCTCTGGGGGGCCCTCAATGTAATCACAACCGTCCCTATTAGAGGGAAGCAGACGGAGATTTGACTACAGACAGAAGAGAAGAAGGTGATATGACAACAAAAGAGAGAGATTTGAAGATGCTATGCTGCTGGCTTTGAAAGTGGAGGAAGGGGCCATGAGCCAAGGAATGCAGGAAATGCATCTCTAGAAGCTGGAAGGGGTAAAGAAACAGGGTCTCCCCTAGAACCCCCATGGGAGCATCGCCCTGACAACACCTCGATCTTAGCCCAGGGAAAATGACTTCAGACTTCTGACCTCCAGAACTGTAAGAGAACACATTCGTGTTGTTTGAAGGTACCAACTTGTGGTAATTTATTACAGCCGTAGAAAACTGACCCACCTCTATACCCCCGAGTGCCTAGGTACTCAGCGGGCATGTTCATGTTGACCGCTATTGGTTTTTTTATCTCTTACTGTTTTTAGACCCTGAATCAAACTTTCTTCACACTTAACAGTCACTGTTTGCCATCCAGTAAATGTTTCCGCAAATAAGTCTTAGCATATATGGCAAGTGAGGTAAACCTGTCCCCTGTCCATAAAGGGAACCAAGGGTAAATGCATTTCCCTCCCATGGTCTCACCCAGCACTAGCTGGTGGCCCAGACAGACCACGCTAGTGACACCCAGCTGCTCTGGCACTGGCTCCTGCTTTGGTTAGAATCAGAAGAGGATCGCATGACTAACCTGGAATCCCTTCCTACAGCCGCACGTGGGCGACCACACATTCACCGGTGGGAACGGGAGAACCATTCGCTCACCCGCGAAATAACTGTTGGTATAGGAACACAAGCCTATAAAAGTAAAAATATGATGGGTATTCTGAGCAAAAAATGTCCAAAGCTCATTCACACAGAAGGATAAACAGAAAAAGTTGACCTGAGCTTATTTTCTTTCTTTTTTATTGTGAATTTTAAGTTACATGAATACATTCTCCTTTAAAAAGTAAAAGAATGTCAGGTAATGCTAAATAACAAAGTCCATTTTGAGGACCAATCCCCCCCCTCCCCCCACCCTGCCAGAACCTCACCCTCCGACCCCCCGCAGTCTCCTCCCTGTTTTTTTCACGCCACTTTCATTCATTATGTTTCTAATTTTCAGCACTGGATATATTATCCAAAAATGCCATTTCAGAATATCTGAGGAGCTCTGGCACACTGCAGCCATACATACATTTTGTTATGCAAATGACTACGAACAATGAGACTGAGGATTGGGGGCTGGGAGGGGAACAAAAACACAAAGCTAAGTCATTCTGTCTACAGAGGTAAACAAAATCAGACTAAAAGTGGAAAGCTCTTTCCTTCTCGTAATTCATAATTCTGTCTGGAACTCTGCCTCTCCCCTTCAGCATCATTTTGTCAGGATAGACATGAACTGTGCCAAAAGCCTGGCTGTCCGGAGCTGTCTCAATAACCCCTTCCAGGTTGACATGGTGCACACCGAAAGGATCCTTAGAGTAGCCACCATCATGAGTGTGACCAGCAAAGAAACACACCACGCACTGGTGAGACCAGATGACCGCCAGGGCGTCCCTGTAATTCCAGGCCAGGCACACACTGTCAGAGGCCTCAGGGTAAATGGGAAGATGGCCTGTTAGTTAAAGAGAAGAAGAGTTACGAGTGAATTAAAAAATAGCTCTTTCACCAAAATAAATGGCTAAAAACTAGTACTCAGAAAAAAAACTGTGTATTGCTGGTGTATTATGCACTGAGGACAGAGAGAATCCACACACATGAAGAACTAGGTGATCTCCAGCCACATCTCTGGAGCATAAAGAAGCTGAGGCAGTTCCCATGCAAAGGGAAAGAGGCCACCAGAGGCAGAACCCCTGAGATCACTATAGCCTAGAGTCTCAAATGAGAAAACAACAAGGGAAACCAAGGGCACGCTGTGCAAGGTGATCTGCAAAGGCAGCCAGGAATCAGGCAAATTCTGTTCTGGAATCCAGTCTCATTGATGTCCTTTTATGAGTGTCACACACACTACGCCTTAATAGAAGAACAGTTTAGGGATGGGCCATGGGTTATATGTCACATAAACACTCAATGCTGTAGAACTGACTCACGCCATTTAAACACACCTCTGTGAGATCAAGGCAGCCAGGAGAATTTCAAATTCCTGATGCCTGATATGTGATGAAGCCACATCATATATCAGGCCAGTTTCACAGTAAAGTAGAGGTACAATAGTTCACTGGTCCTTGCTGCTTCCTATTAAATCACTTTCCTTTTTTCTCTCTGCTACTGTTCATTTTTATTATTATTGTTATTTTTTCTTGCTGAGGAAGATTTGCCCTGAGCTAACAACTACTGCCAATCTTCCTCTTTTTGCTTGAGGAAGATTCACCCTGAGCTAACATCTGTGCCAGTCCTCCTCTATTTTGTAGGTGGGTCACTGCCACAGCATGGCCACTGACAAGGGGTGTAGTAGGTCCATGCCTGTGAACTGAACCTGGGCTGCTGAAGTGGAGTGCACTGAACTTAACCACTAGGCCACAGGGCTGGCCCCCCATTTTTAGTTTTATTCTGCTTAATATCTATTAGTTTATAATACAAATAAAAATGGGGGAGGGATTAACAGAACCCTAAAGTAGAAAGGAGTCATAACTTACGTGTGCATGTGTGTGCGTGCACACACACGCACACACACACTGACAACCACCCTTCAAGCTGTGATAAAAGCTAAGAGTCCAAAGACGCTGTGTGACTTTCCAGATCCAGATGCCATAATGGACTCATCTGTCAAGTACCTGCAGCATTTGACACGTCGCTCCCTTCTCCTTGAAATAGTTGGCTCCCAGGACACCACTAGTGCTCCTAGTTTCCCTCCAACCTCAGTGGCCACTAATTCTCACTCTCCTCTACTGGCTCCTCATTCCCCAGTGTCTTATTAGGAGCGCCTGAAAGCTTGGTCCTTGGGCTTCCCTTCTCGATCTATAACTAATGGCCTGCTGATCTTAGTAATTTACAGTTTAAATGTCATCTGTATTCTTTCAAGTTCCACATTTATGTACCTAGCGCAAACTTCCATTCTGAATTTCAGACTGTGCTTATTCAGTATCTCCACTGATGTCTAATAGGCATCTGACATCTAATAGGCATCTGAAACAATATTTTCAAACTTGAACACCTGAACTCTCCACCCAAAACCCCCTCCTACTGCAGTGACCCCTCCTACAGCTAATAGCAATTCTCTCCTTCCATTTGCACGGCCAAACTCAAGCAGCAGGCAAAATGACCTCTGAGTAGCCAGAATGAAAGTGAAAAAACAGACAAAAACAAAAGAAAACTATTAGCCATTTTAAACTTTGCTAGAGAAAACCTGAGGCACTAAGCCGTGAAAGGCTTGTTCATCCAGTGTCTAAGCTTAGAGCAAAGTGGAAGAACTTTGAGACTGCTAATGCAGATAGGGGCACTGACGTAAGCAGAGAAATGGGAAGAAGAGAGGATAACTCGGGAAAAGAGACTGGGATACAAAACGTGGACTTTAGTCTCAGTTCTGTCTGTCAGTAGTTATATGATTTAAGCTATGTAGTTTAATCTCTTTTGGTTCAGCTTCCTTATGTTTAAAATTAAATGGTTTGGCTATATGATCTCTAGGTCCCTTTTGGCTCCAGTATTCTTTAAAGCAAAGTACAGCCTGACAGTGGAAACTAAAAAGCAGAGACAAGTCAAGACGTATCACAGTTTTTGAGACCATTTATTGTAGAGCCAGATAGTGTCACATCATGCCGATAACCCCCGAGGGCACCTTCTATTTTCCAAGCCTTGAATGATATTTAATGTTCCAATGGTAGCAAAAACACCCCTACTCCATCTACATATTTTTACATTAGGGAAAGGTTAATAAGTAAAAATTACTTTTATAGAAATATAATGTTTATATTATCAACCATCTGAATAGCCTGCCATTTTCAAAGAGTTTTCATGTATACAATTTCACTGATACAATATTGAGAAAACTGCAGTTTGTAGGGTCAGCATTTGTCCAGTCACACAGCTCAGAGAAACAAGAGGCAGAGTGGCAACCCGTCCTTGTGATCCTGAGCCCAGCCTTCTCGTTCATTGGGCCACATCCATTTTAAACCAAGGGATCTAATCTCAGCCCCCAAACCAAGTACGCCAGCCATACTGCAAATTCAAATTCAGTTCTTCATGTGTGTGTGTGCGTGTGTGCACACACACACTGCGCGCACACCTGCATCTGAGTGTATTTTAAGCACCTCCAGATTCCTATAATCTCTGATGGCAGTACCTCCGTAAAAAATGATGCTAAATGAAAACAGCATAAATTTTATTTCCTTGCGATCACATGGTAAACAGAGTTATGGAACTGAAGTGCCCATGGCCAGCTGGGTCTCTAGCCGTGTCCCCTGTCGTATCAGCCTTGCTGCCATTTGGGCAGCAGAGGGCTCATTTGCTGGCCACTGCACTGACAGGCAGGTCTCCTGAGGCTGAGATTTGGTGTGGGGCCTGGACTGAATTTCTCATTTAAATATTACTACATAAACTGATCCCACTTGGGGAAATTCTACTTTGAAACCTAAAAGGCCAACTCACAGGCCCTAATATATGGCAAGGGTTTTCTGTTATTTTACAGTTCTTTCCTGACTCACCCTTAAATGTTAATCTTATATTCAGATTGTTTCTCAGTAAAAATTTTTAAACTAAGCATTCATTTTCTAGAAAGAGGATATCACAATACAAATATTGTTAGTATGCTTTAAAACCTAACTTCTCCCATTCTCTAAAATGCTAGTGTAATCAAATAATTTAAATACTTACTCACAATCACCACCTTTTCTTGGTTTGTGTCAGAGAATGTAAGAACTTCATTCAACCAGTTCAGCTGTTCTTGGCTGAATCCTCCATTAAACTGGACAAACTGGGGCTCAGAAAGTCCTGAAATGATCAGTCAGTTAGACCCGTCAAATGTCATTTTTTCACTCATTTGGGCATTTGAACTTAGCTAATGTGGGGACACCTGTACTTTTCTTTAGGAATATTTGGCAGCAATTAACTTAAAACAGGAAACCACAAGAATTTAGAGCAACATACAAATGAACCAGTGTATCTTACTCCTCATCTTGACACCCTCTGCTTGCTTCACTAGCTTCCCAGTACACTGAAGACAAAACACAGACTCCCTCCTATGCCCACTGAGCCACGACAATCACCTGGCAGCCACTGGCCCTTTCCTGCGTCCTTCAATAATGCCAAGGTCGTCTTCTGCTCAGTGCCTCTGCATTTTTCTGTCTTGAACAATCGGCCTACCCTGCTCTTCCCAAGAATGACTCCTGCCTGTCATCAGGGTTCAACTTAATGTCCTTCTCCTTGGAGAGGCTCTCTGTGACCACCTAAACTAAGACAGTACCCCTGGTCCTTTTCTATACCTTTTTTGTGGTGGCATTTATTACTGTGCAAATAATCCTGTTTCTGTTTCATTTATTATCTGTCCTGCCCACCTAAGTCTCTTGTTCCCTCCACTCCATCTATAGAAAAGGTGATAATGTCGGTATTGCCCCAAGCTCTGAATAACTAGCCCTAGAAAAAGTGCCCAACCCAGAAGAGGCATTCAGATCTGTCAAATAAACGATTCTTGAACCAACTGCAACCAATCCCTGTGCCACGAAGCCTGTGAGAAATCCTGACCCTGAACAACAGTGACAATATATTTTTACCTTCATCGTCCATCCTCCTGCTGAATAAAAGGTAGCTGAAGAATTTAAAGACAATGTATTAGATTGTCAGTTCAAAGGAATAATTCACCTTGAGGACTATTCAATTCCGTATTTGGATTGTGCTCCCTCAGCATCTGCAGACACTGCTGGTATTTTGGAGAAGACTGATCCACACCCAAGACACTCAAGTCATAAGCATCGAGTAAAATGAACCGGAATTTAGGGAATGGCACAAAATGGTAAGCATAATAATCCTCTGAAGGCATAGTCTCAGGATGATGTACAATGTGATCTTCTAGAAACTTCGTGTTAAGTTTGGAGTTTGTTAAGTAGTCTCTGCTGAAGTTGTAGAATTCGTGATTTCCCCACGTATGATGGACTGGGGCTTTCAGCGTTTGGAACGTGCTCATGACAAGTTCTAGTGATTTTTCTGACGCTTTATACTGCGCGTTATAGCCATCGATGATATCTCCCAGTTGCAGTACACAACAGGGTGCGCTGCTTTCTTCATTCCAGTGTTCAATGGCACCCCGTAAGTGAAGAAGACTGTGTCTGTAGTACCTCCGTCTGCTTCCATGGAAATTATAGCCGTCTTCTAAGTCGGCATACTGAATATCTGCTATAACTCCAAAGGAGAAGAGAGGTTCTGAGCTCTCACTCAGGGTTCCAGGATTGGGCTTATCATCCATAACCTCCAAACAAGTTTCTAAATAAACTAAATAAAAGGAAAAAAGATAACTAAGTTATAAACATCCTACCTTTCTAAATGGACTAAAGAAAATGATAAAATGAATATTAAACTTAATAGTTAATCCACTAGGTAGCTTGGTGTAGAGAAAAGTGCACAGGCATTAGAGTCTGATGGTCTTATGTCCAAATTACCAAGTCCTCGAAATGCTTCAGTATTCCCATCTGTAAAATGGATGATAACCTCTATTCTTTAGAAGAGTAACAATTTATAAATACCCTATTAATGAACAGGCATTCTAATTCTAGTAAAGTCAAACTCAAATCTGGTATAATTTGTAATTATTAAGAAATATACAGGGGCCGGCCCAGTGGTGCAGCGGTTAAGTTCGCACGTTCCACTTCTCAGTGGCCCAGGGTTCATCAGTTCGGATCCCGGGTGCGGACATGGCACGCTTGGCACGCCATGCTGTGGCAGCTGTCCCACATATAAAGTAGAGGAAGATGGACATGGATGTTAGCTCAGGGCCAGGCTTCCTCAGGAAGAAAAAAAAGAAAAAAAGAGGAGGACTGGAAGTAGTTAGCTCAGGGCTAATCTTCCTCAAAAAAAGAAAAAGGGGAGGGGGCTGGCCCCGTGGCTGAGTGGTTAAGTTCGAGCGCTCCACTGCAGGCAGCCCAGTGTTTCGTTGGTTCGAGTCCTGGGCGCAGACATGGCACTGCTCATCAAACCACGCTGAGGCAGCGTCCCACATGCCACAACTAGAAGAACCCACAACGAAGAATATACAACTATGTACCAAAGGGCTTTGGGGAGAAAAAATAAAAAATCTTTAAAAAAAAAGAAATATATACTAGTTTTAAACACACACATACGTACACATACATACACATACACACCTTAATCCAGAAACACCAAAATAATGCTATCAAAGGCTCAGGATTTGCGGGGAGGGAAGTTGTATATTACACTCATTCATTGCACTTTTTACATTAGATGCCTGCTATGGGTACTCTGTATCAGGCTGGATCTTTTCTCTTTGTTGGCGGTAGGTCACCTGAAATAACTTCCTCTTATTTTGTATCTGGAATAACAGAGAGAGGCAATTAAGATATGAGAGGAATAATTTTAAACAAGCAAAAAAATCTGGCACAAAAACTATGACACTGATGTGACTATTTTCATTTCTGTGAGTAGTGGTTCCTCGTTCTTCAACAGCTAAATTCTAATTTGAACCAGGTTTTTAATCTGGTTCAAATTAACTCCCCTCCCCTACAACCAAAACAGGAAATATGTAATCTTTTTTTCTTACACATGATTTCTGCCCTGCCTCAGTGGCCAAGAAGAGGTTTAGGCTTGAAAAAGCTATTATTTTATTAGACTGATTACAATCTAAATTTAGAATCTCTTAAAAGAGCCAAGAACACTAAGGATTAAAATAAAAATCAAAGACCAAGATCCTAAATTATCAACTATTCTGGTTATAGAGGCTACAGCAATACATTGTGCTGTGGTATCTAGGTTTATTAAAACCTAGTTGTTTCTAAAAATTCATTTGGAATTTCTAAAATTACTTTCAGACTCCTGGTCTCCGGTCATTTGCCCAATGTACTTACTGAGTTCTTTTTAATCCTCTACAGACTTGTGAAATCCTAATTGTCAGTGCTCCTATCAGAGCTGGAGGCCACAACTCCACAACTGACAATAAGGGCCGGACTTCAACATGACTTATTTGAGAATTAGGGGCCTCTTTTTATTCTAAAACTGTTGTCACTAATGGCACATTTTTTATCTAATCCACCCAATTATGAGCTTCAGCTACTTTCCTTTCTTCCTTAATCCAGTTGGGTATAATTAGCTCTAAAACAGGTAAAACAGCACCAGAAAAAGAGAGAGAAATCCTGGAAAATGACTTGGTGTTCTTATACTGGTTTTTCTTCATTTGCTCATTTTGTCCTGCAGGCCCCATCTGAAAATCCTACCAGATACCAAGTCAGTTAGTATGTACGAGGGGTGGCACAGATGAGACATCTGATTGGAAAGCTGAACTCAGATATAATTACAATAAATACAAAACAACTAAGTTAGCTGAAAATCTCTAGTCTTACTAGGTTTCAATATTTGCCATTCCAAACACAGATTAATCAAACCAGAAGATAATTTAGCAAGCGTATCACTGGAATGTTATTACCAAAGCTTAAGAGAAAACTGTTTCTGGGAATGCTTTTATCTCCTGCCAAACAAGCTTGTTCGTTTTTATCTTTAAACTCAGAGACTTTCGGGTGATAGCATGTACTGTGGATCTCCTGGAGGGCATTTAGTCCCAATTAACTTGATCTTCTCCAGTAGACAGCTGTTATTTTGGTCTCCCCAGCATTCATTTCCTGTCTTCTGGTAACAGCCCCCTGTCTCTTCAGGCATCCCCCCAATTCCTCATTCTTGGTTCATATGGTTTGACCTCTACCCACTGGCTGAGGAAGGAGAGAGGGAGACATGCAACCCAGAGCAGGCCTATAAAAGCCCAGTTTCTCCCTGGTTAGTTAGGGGTAGGCATATAAACAAGCAGGGTCAATAAGCATCAGCCCTGGGACTTTGGCTGGAACAACTTAGCAAAACTACAGAAAGTACTTCTGCTGAGAACTAAGATAGGAGTTGCTGGGGAAAAGTAAACTGAAAAAAAAAAACAATCTAGAAGGAAGCAAATCTGAATGATGGAAAGATGTCAAGTCCTGGAAGCATCAGCTGATTACCTGGATGCACCTGTCCCTTCTAGGACTACCCTCAGTCATTTAGTTATATCAGCCAATAAATACTCCTTTGAGTAAAGCCAAATTGAATTGGCTTTCAGATTTCTGTCCTGTGATACCAAAAGTCCTGTCAGATACACCTTCTAAGGGAACACAGGTCAGTTTAGGGAAACACAAGGGTATACTAAGATTTGCCAACTTTTTAAAGAAACTTACGCAACGTGGAAAGAAGCAGCAAGGGCCACACACTCCAAAACAGTAATGTGTTCTGGGGTAGAAAACAGATCCAAAATACTGAAGAGATATAGCTTTAAAAAATAAGGGTGAGAATAGGGAACATTCAGTTTTATTAAATAAAGAAATTATTTTGAAAAACAGAAACTTAAATTCATACTGGGATCTGTTAAGGAAAAGATAAAAGGCAGGGGAGGAGGACAAGGCCACATTCAAGGAAAGACAGGATCAGGAGTAAGGCGGGGCAAAATGAACCAAGTGGGCATGGGGCTGACTCTCCTGACTAGTTGAGAGTCTTTTATTTGATAGTTCAGGGAGGTGGCAGGAGCTCAGAAAGATACCTGGTGGACCGAGGGATCAAAAACTCAAAGACACCTCCAGTGGGGAGCCAGAATTAATAAGCATTTCAATGCCATAGAAATTTTTCAAAATACTCCCCATCCTCCACCAAATACACACAAAAATGTGGGTGAGCAGAGGATAACTGTTGAAGCTAGTAAGGGGTACCTGAGGTCTATTCTCGCTCAAAGTTTTTAGTAAACTTTGTTCTGAAAGTTTTGCCTGCACCATTTATAATATGCTAAGTTATCTAAGTTTTAGTTAACAGGTATTATGATGGACTGCTGAAAGCTCTGAAATTGAAGACCTGGAACTCAACTGTAATCCCAGTTTTTCCTAGAGCAAAATAACCCTCACCAGCTGTTGTGAGATTCAACAGAGTTATAAGACACGGTAATCTACTTTGTAAATCATAAAGCACCATATGCATGTTAAGAAAATTATTTTTTAATTACACATCTGACACTACATCTGCCTAGTGAACCTTGAGATAACTGAAACTACTACAACTTTTTATACAACTGAATCATGTAGAAAACTTTACAAGATTTTCTCCAGAAATTCCTACAAAAAGTCATGGTGCAGGATAAGCAGCCAGCATTTTGTGAAAACCACCTTTCATCAAGATTTTTAAGAATAGGAAGAAATACCCAGAGATGGTTACTTGCTGAAAACTTGCTACAAGGTGATACTAATAAAATTTCTGTAATAAGACTGGCAGAAGGCTGAAGTTCCTTTTAGACTATTGTCAAAGGCAAAAACAAGGGTTTGGGGGGTGACAAGTCTGGACATTAGTAAGGGGAGACCATTTCAGGGGAACTACTGCAATAGAGAGGCGCTCAAACCCAAGCCAGAAGACTCTTAGGCAAGCTGTAGGGGAGCCAAGTTTTTATATGCAGAGCCCATATAGGCAGCTGTGGAAAGAGGAACGGGGTGGCTTTGAAACTTCACCATGCTAAATATTGCCCTAACAGCAAAGGTGAGGCAGGAGATGTCTGTGGCTAGGCACATGGGGCACGAGTCTAGACTGGGGATGAAGCAAACAAGTTGCAGGGCTGGAAAGGTCACACACAGTTCGGCCTACCTGTCCTAGTCAAAACAGCCTCAAGTTATGTCGAGCACAAAATGTCATCGGCCTTGTCACTACTGAGAGAACAAATATTAGATATTATCTATGTCCTGTCTCTTTCAAGAAATCTAAACTGAAAGAGGGAAAAAACCTCATTTGGTGATCTTGGTGGTTTAATGGTAGTAATAAAAGTGCTAGGTTTACACGAGATAATGTTTCAGATATCTTTTAACACTAAAGTTTCATGGGTCTGTAACCAAAGGCCCTCCAGGACCAGTTCAACAGACCCCATCTCTTATCAACAGAGTGATTAAGAAGTGTCTTTCAGAAAAACTGCAAAGTCAAGTAGCCAGAGCATGCGTAAAAGAAGAAATCGTGACCTGAAACGACCTGGGAACTAAAGATCCTCCTCCCCACAGAACCCAAGGACCGGGACATGACCAGAACTTGAAAGTCGGACTCTTTTATCAGAAGCGAAGGGGTCCCTCACTGAGGAAGATCCAGTATTAAAAGTCCTCCCCCGCTTTACCATAGAAGTTTAGGAACTTCATCATAAATGTTTAAAGCCTTACCATAAATGCTTGAAGCCCACCAATCAAAACCTGTCTCACCAGCATTTCTGCAAGCCAGCCAATTCTCCCTAACCTATTAAATTTCGCCCCAAATCCTGAATTGGGGAGACAGATCTGAGGGCACAAACCCCCTGTCCCCCTGCAGATCAATCTCGCAAAATAAAAGCTGATTTCTCCCCAAAAGCTGATGCCATAATTAAGTGGCTTGTTTATGTGCATCGGGCAGAGAACCCCAATTTTATGCGGTAACAGGTCCATGAAATCAGGCTCAGAGGTGTTGTTAGCAATTCACCCAATGTATAGTTATAAAACCCCTACTTTGAGTCAGGAACTGTTTTAGAAGCTAGCATTTTATTTAATAGTATAAATTTAATATGAAGAGGTATAAAAATGCTTTGATAAATAAAGGGTCAAACTATTAAAAGAATTACTTTGGCAAATAAAATTTAACAGATCAGCTGAAAACACTGAATTCAATTTTAATTTATATGACATGTGTTCAATCAATTAATTTACAATTGAGCAAAGAGATGAACAATAATTTTATATGCTCATTGCCTCAGTACTTCTGTGTCTTTTGTCAATTTAAGGAATAAGTTCTCCCTAGGCAAACAGATACACAGAATTAAGAGAGTAAAAAGATCTTACCCACGGGCAAGTGAAGATAGAAACATTAGTTTGATTAAGAAGATTTAAAGTGCTGAGCAAACATTTACTTTGAGCAGGTATTTCAGAAAATTCCAGCTCAACTTCGAATCAAGAACCATGGGTAATACTCGACTACAACTTTACTGCCTTAAACTGCAGCAGCTTGGCTAATTATGCTGGCTCACAGAAAATACACACGCTCCAGTCCCACAATCATAATCATTTCCTTTTTCTGTATTTTGCAAATCCACCACGGAGGTGAGTAGGGGTTAAGACTGCAGCTACTGAGACAAAAACAGAGGCAGGACAAATGAATGCGAGTTAAACTTTCACAAGGAATGAAAATAAACCCACGAATGCTCTTGGCCTCATTAATATTCTAGGGCTGTAACCAACAAGATAAGCAGTCCCAGAGGAGGAACTCATCAACAAACTTGACATCACAAAACTCAAGGGGGCAGTGGAGTCAGCGAGAGCATTTTAAGAAACTGGGGCCCAGGGAGACTAAGTTAAGGGATGATCTGACGCAGTATATACTACTTCGTCCAGTGCTGTTTTCTATAACTAAGTTACATTATAACCTGGGAACAACTAGAAGCACCAAGCACTTCAGTCATACTTGTCTATCCACCCTCATCACTCAAATTATCCTTATTAGCAATTTTTCTTTTTTTAAGTCAAAGACTATATCAAGTGCCACGGATCCGCTTCTATGACAGGCATGCAAAGGCGTTAACAACCTTGCACTTCCATTTGACCGGCCTCCAGACTGGGCTGCACGAGGGGGACAAGGGTGGGGATGGGGGCTTCCCGGCCGGGCGGGTCTCCGGGCGGTGCTGTCTTGTCCTCGAGGCTGGGGATGCCCGGCGGAGCGAGGAGCCGGCTGCAGGCGCCGAAGCCCCGAGCCTCCGACCGGCGCGGGACGTCCCCAGCGCTCAGGACCGCCCGTCCCAGCCGCGCAGCACGGACCTCGAGGCAGCCCCTCCTCGGGGCCCTGCTGCCCATCCCGGACAGCCCGGGCCGCGCAACCCCAACACAACCGCGAGGGACACCTACCGCGCGCCAGCTCCTCGGCCAAGGGCTTCCTGACTACAGGCTAAGCAACCGCGCCACCATCGAGTGGAGCGGAAAGAGCGGCTCCTTCTGACTTCCGGAGGAAGCGGAACCGGCCCCGGAAGTCGGGGGGCGGGCCGAAGGAGGCGCGGTTTCCTATGCTCATGGCGAGTGCGTTGGTAGTACGCGGCTGCATCTTGCAGCTTCCTGGTGGCCGATTGTGGCGTCTCTTGCCCCGCGGACTCGGAATTTGGGGCCCGGCAGAGGGGACCGCCAGGGTCTTGCTGAGGCAACTCTGCGCGCGGCGAAAGGAGGCATGGCGGGCCTCGGGGATCGCTGGCAGCTGCCTGGGAAGCCGCCAGTTCACGGCGAGACCGCCCCCGCCGGGCTCGTCGGGGCCGGGGCCGGAGGGCCGCAGAGACCCCACGCGCCCCTCGCAACCCGGGGTGAGTGCACACCTGGAGCCCTTCCTCCGCTCGTCGTGGTTGTGGGGCAGGCCTGTGGCCTTCCCATGCGACTTAGTCATAACCTCTGAAACCTCTCTGCCTGGCCGGAAATTGCCCTCTGCTCCGCCGGCTTGCCTGGGTCACAGTGTCTCCTCTCGTCTCCCTTGGTTTGTCGGTCGTCCCAGCCGTAAAGAGAGGACTTGAGTCTCTCCACGTGGTTAGATACCCCGGCTTGGGTTTTACTTAGCTTTTGCGCCAAAAAGTTAAGTTTCACGATTTCTTAGGGGGTCTCAACCTAAAGTTTACCGTGATTGAGGAGTCAGAGCATTTTTATGATTTCTGTCTCTGGAATCTGTCTTCAGAGGTTCGGTGTATATTTTGAAATTGAGCAAAATGTGGGTCATAGTTGCATGCTGGTTATGCCTTCTTTGGTTTCTCTCGGGTTCTAGTTCTGACCCAAAAAACTTAAGAGCCACTGCCTTCTAGTGATAGGTGATGGAAGTGGTTTTTGGAGGTGGGGGAAGGTTAATGAGTTGGGCCTAGGTGGTCGACATCCTGCCTTGGGACTTGAAAGGGAGTACAAAGAAATAACTTCATGCAATTTGCAAGAAGCTCCGCATTTAGATCTCCTCTACTTTGGCTTTGTTACTTCTGGAAGCCAGAGTTAGTTTAACCTCCCAGATTTTATTTGGTTTATTTATGTTCTCAACATCGGCACAAGCAGATAATTAACAGGTTTTAAATCAGCAGTTGGGATCAGGGTGACACGTAGTAACATGTAATAACTTGAGCTTTGGGTCGTTTTTTCACCTGAAAAGAAATCGACTCAGGGAACTTTCCCTTGGCAATAAGTGCCTTTGTAATTGTGTTAGGAGCCCAGATGCAACTGCAGCCACAGAAGCTTTCAGTATTTTCTCATCCCAAAGTAACATGAAGCAGTCTACACGGTTAACAAGATCAAGGCCTGTGTGTGTATATTAGAAACTAGTATAATAAATGTCGTATGATTAAATGTTTGCATCTTACTAGAATTTTTATTTTTGAATTCTGCCCCAGTAGCCTGTTTCCTGGAAATCCTTAGCAGTCACATTCGCTATTGGAGGAGCCTTATTGGCTGGAATGAAGTACTTCAAGAAAGAAAAGACAGAGAGTAAGTGGATAGCATCTGGTCAGCCCTGAATAAAATACTTCCTGCTATGGACTAACGTCTTTTTTGTTTTTTTGTTTCTAAACTATTTATCTTCAAATAATTTTAGATTAATACAAGAGTTGTAAAGATGGCATGGAGAGTTCCCGTATACCTTTCACCTAGCTTCCCCAAATGTTAACATTTTATATAACCATGGCTCATTTATCAAAACTAAGAAATTAAAATTGGTACAATACTATTCATGAAACTGCAAACTTTATTTGGCTTTCACCTGTTTTTCCATTGTCTTTTATCTGTTCCAGGATACAATCCAGGATACCACGGTCTAACAATATGAAAAGACTTATTGTGGGCAGAGTTGAATGTGGGTAGTATGAAGTCCAGAGGGTACAAAGATGACTGAGACGCAGTCCAGCCACCAAGGTGCACATAGCAGGGAAAGAGATACAGAAGTAAAGGGTTTCACTAGATGAGTTTCTGCCAAGCCAGAGAGAAGTTCAGGGTGCTCTGAGGGCCACAGGCAGGCTCAACCCTTACTGCAAACTACTGAGTATCAGAGGGAAAGGCCAGAGGCTGACCATGGATGATGGAGAGAGAGAGAGCAAGAACCGGGGCGGGCAATGCCAGGAACTGCACAGGATTAGCACTTAAAGTACTTAGAAATTGTGTACAAGAACTTTATAGTTTAGTGAATATTCCAGGACTTTTAACATTTGGTTTAGAAGTTTCCAGTAAATCTTTAAAGTATTGCTTAAATCTGTTCTGATTCTTTACTTTAGTCTCTTTTGATGCCATTATATAAATGGTAATGTTTAAATCTGGGAGTGAGAATTCATAGGCTTTAGAACCTTAGCCACCATAGGATCCATACTGATAGATAGACATATTTCTTTTGTATAACAAGCAATGTTTTATTGATAGGATTTTCATATTTTAATAAGCAGTGAAGTTCCCTTAGTTTCACAATGAAATACAGCTGAGAAGCTAGCAAAGTAGTGGTAGAGACAATTCTAGAAAATGCAAGCTTCTTTTGACTTTGGTTTGGAATTTCACCTGCAATTAATAACATTTTATTTTATTAAAAAATGTATTATGAAACAACATTAAAAGTGTTTGTAAATTTGCTGACATGATGCCTCATCATCTCCAAATACTGGATTGTGTATTTCTTACAAACAAGGACATTCTCCAACATAACCACAGTACAACCCTCAAAATAAGAAAATTAACATTGATAATGTTAGTACCGTTCGATCTTCAGACCTCATTCGTTTTTCAACTTGATGCCCTTTATTATAGCACAAGGATCCAGTTCAAAACCACACCATACCCAATTATTGTCTCTCTAGCCTCCTTCAATCTGTAACGGTTTTTCAGTCTTTATCTGACTTTCATGACCTTGACAACTTTCAATATTATAGGCCACTTATTTTGTAGAATGTCCCTTAGTTCGGGTTTGTCCGATGTTTCCTCATGATTAGATTCAGGTTATGTTCTTTTGGCAGGAATGTCACAAAAGTGATGCTGTGTTCTCATTGCACCTCTTCAGGTGCCACATGATTTCACTTTATCCCATTGCTGATAATGTTCAGTTTGATCATTTGATTAAGGTGCTATCTGTCAGGCTTCTCTACGGAAAATGTAGGTAATATGTATTTTTGGATGTATATTTACATATGTAAACATTCTGTTCCACATCAAACTCTCAGTTCATTTATTTATATCAGTATGGACTCATGCTTTCCTATATAGTCAATGAGTTGTAATCCATTATTCTCTTTATTTATTTATTTATTTTGTGGAAGATTAGTCCCGAGCTAACATCCACTGCCAGTCCTCGTTTTGCTGAGGAAGATTGGCCCTGAGTTAACATCTAGGCCCATCTTCCTCTACTTTATATGTGGGAGGCCTGCCACAGCATGGCTTGATAAGCCATGGGTAGCTCAACACCCGGGATTGGAACCGGCGAACCCCTGGCCGCCAAAGCAGAGTGTGCGAACTTAACCACTATGTCACCCTGCCAGACCCCTGTTGTTCTCTTTATTTTGATGCTCAAATTGTCCCACATTGGTTAATGGGGGCCTTATTGAG